AAAAAAAAAAAAAAGGTTAAAAATGGACCCCCAAATAATTACTTAAAAAAGCTGTGAATATACTCAGTAATTGGGGAGTAGCATCGTATTTTTTTTTTAATCAGAGCATGTTTTTACAACATAATGGAAATAATGAAAATCAGATCACAAGGCACCACTCTACTCTGACTCTCAGGCTTGCGTCTGGCACAATATAACCTGTAGTCTTACTTGTGCTTCTGAATGTCCTTGGCCCCGTTTCTTCGACTGCCTAGCCTCTCCGAGGGATTGTGCCTTGGCAACGGAGCAGAGAGGACATAAAAATAAGTACACCAGCATGATTGTGTCAGTCAAGATGTAGCGCTGCATCTTTGGTGCTTTCAACACCTGCACAGCATCTTTATGAGACTGGAGGCAATCTTGCTGATTGCTTTAGGGAAGTCGATGTTATCAATGCCGCGCACGGTCTCGCTGAGGAGCCTCATCGGGTCAACGTCGTTGAACGGAATCCTGGAGACACAAGTAGTCTGTCACACGTACAGTTCAAATTCTAAAGTGGATCAGCCCTGAGGTTTAACAAATCAGAATTTGACCAACATTGATCACTGGTGGTGTAAAATAGCCCTTGTTGTATAAAACAGGCCCTAAGAGTCGGCTAAAATCACATAGAATATATAGTTAGTTAGAAATCACTTTTTTTCCCCCCCACATGATTTTGATCATCTTTTTGTCATAATTGTTGAAATATTTTATTATCACAGAAGCTGTATATCTCAAAAGGGACCTGAGTAACGAACAGAAATGACATTATGATAACTGCTTCAACCTTAGGTAAGTCCTGTCTTCTAGTATGAATATATTTCTTTTTGAAATATTTTCAAATGTAATGGAGTGTGTCACCCAAACCAATGCAAACCCATCAGCAAAAGAAATATTCGTATAAAAGTTCTTCTTTTCTTTTTTTTTTTAACTCATGCCAGTTAACAAAAAAAAACGTTTCTTTGTTTTTTTTTTTTGTTTTGTTTTTTGGGGATGGTTTTTGGATGATGGTCTGGCCCACTCAACAAAAGGGAAGTTGACAAGTTTAGGGGAACAGATAGCGTATTGTTCCACTCGGTTTCAACCGCATAAGATACTAATAAAGTAATGTGTGAAACTCACCCACCAGTCAGGAGCTCAAACACAAAAACACCCAAAGACCAAAAGTCTGCAGCTACACTGTGGCCTTTGTTGAAGATGACTTCAGGGGCCATGTAGCCTGGAGTGCCACAGAAGGTGTATGTCTTTTTACCCACTTCAATCTTCTTCAAACATTTGGAGCCAACCTGAGGTTGACAAATAAGGACAGTCACACTCAGAAGAATGCGAATGAACTACGTACTACTAATCAGCTAGCTTGCGCGGCGGCGTAAGAAAATGTCATTATGCACCACAGGAGGACAAGCTCAGTGACTGCCTTAATGGCTGGTTTTATTTAATTGTTTTATATTTATGGCTAGAATTGGACAAATACAAATATTTATTGGTATTACAACTTTATAGTCGGGACTGCGCCCTTCCGTGAAGAGTGGCAAAAAAGTGTAGATAGCTAGCTAGCTCATGTCTTTTTTTTTTTTTTTTTTTTTTTTATTTTTTTTTTTGGGCCCCCTTTATACTCCAT